GGTCTATATCATAACTCAAATGCCATGGCCCTCAAACTCGGGTGGCGGATATATTGCTTTTATTGCAAATATAAAGTCTTTCATTTTTTCGGATGACGATTTATTATTTTTCAGGCGCCGCCACATATATTCCACCAAATAAGAGTCAAACTCTTCGCTTACCTTTTTCGTCCCCTTCATCCCACGCTTAACAGCACTCCACGTTCCTTCCAAATCCTAGTATACGGTGCGGCCATGGCGCGATTTTTAAAATTCGGCAGCAATCCGGCATCTACTGCCCATTGAATTACAGCAAGCTTTCCTTCCAGTTCTAACTTCCAAAAAAATTTCGTGTTTAAATATTCGCAATTCATAGCACTGCACATCATAATCGAAAAGTAACGTTATCCAACTGTAGAACAAATACGTTAGCAAATAGAACTGTAGAACAAAATACGTTAGCAACTCGAACTGTAGAATAAAAGACGTTATCAAACTAAAATCATATTCAGTATCTGACCAAAAACCGATTAATTAAAAATATATAACCAATCAGAAACTCGGCGGAACCACTACTGTTATTTTAAAAAATACAAAAAATAAAAGATAAATAAATTTTACCTGAACATACGTTATCCTTTCTCATTCAGTTCAGCCGAAGACCGAAGATTAACGGAACTTCAAACAATGGTTTGAAATAATTCTTCTCTTCCATCTGCACCAATCAAAACTTTCTCAATTTAAAATATTTAATGAGCATGCGCGAAAATGCTCCCAAATGCACTCTCCTCCAGAGCGCCAAAATCGGCTTGGTTACCACAATTGGCGCGCTTATTAGTCTCTTAAACCCGAATTTCGCCAACTCTCATGTGCACCGTATACTAGGATTAAGCCGTATCTTTAATTCATTATTTTTTCTTGCAAGACCGCAAATAGGCATAATTGTTTTCTCTAATGTATAGGTAGGAATTATTTTGATTTTTAAATATTTATTACTTTGATACAAATATTAGAATGAAAGTTATGGTTGTTTGCAGTTAAAAGGAAGAAAAAAAATCGTGTCGTTATGTACTTATTCCCCATTTTTCTTATTAAATACTGCGAAATGTAATATATTCTTGTATTTCTGTGTTCTTTTGAAAAAAATATACTCATTTTTTTCATGTTCTCTTTGATATCATTAATGTAATGTTAATATCTGGCTGAGCAAATATTTGTTATCTGCGCTCAACTTTCCAGACGTTATTGGAAATCAGCTTTAATAATGCATCTAGTTGAACATGCTTAGCCAGAAACATTAACATATTAACTTCAGCCGAGCTAGAGTGTGTAATATTAATACCAAAAGCCTAACATTCTATGTACACTTATTGTAAACAATTCTAGTATTATTCTGTTATTTGTAGCGAAATTAAAAATTGCAGCAAGAAGCAGTAGCTTTTGCTGTGATGGTTTGTTTTTGTTATTAAGCCCAGTTAATGTTCTCTTGCCTGTATGCAGCGTGGTGTGGGTGTGATGTGGCTATTCTCATTCTTGATTGTAAGGTAAAATTAAAATTTTATAATCATTATTTGCTTAAATGAATAGGTTTTCAATTGTAATTATTTGTTAATTCATTTTCTTTTAAAAGCAAACTGGTGAATGCGATCTGGCGATCTTTTTCCCTGAATTTCTGCATGTATAGGTTAGTAAAAACTATATTTGTAATTATTTAATTTCAGTACAAAATGTGTATTAAATGTATATAATTTGTGTGTATTATTAAATTTCAGAATGTAGTTGCAGATTAAATAATTACATGGTTCTGCTCGATTCAGGGTAAGAAATGAATATGGTGTACTTCAAAGGTATTCTTTCAATGCTGTGCGCATAACTCTATTTTCTTATTCAAACGTAATGTATGGTGTGGCAGTGATATTGATGTGCCTTTTTTTTTTTTTTTTTTTTTTTTTTTTTTTTTTTGCTTATGTACTTATTTACACAAATTTCTTATTACATTCTGTGAACAAATTTATAATTTTGTTGTTGTTTGGATGAGCATTGGTGCTAAATGTCTAGCTGAACAAATTAATATTTTTCTTAATATCGGCAAATATTTCAGTTATGTGTTCATTTGGCAGCATTTACTGCAAACCAGTTTTAATGTTGCTTCTACTTAACCAGAAAAACATTACATTCAAAGTTGAGCCAAAGTATGTTTTGCCAGGAAGCTAATGTGTGCTATTTTTTATGAGATTCTGGCCATGTCTAACCATATGCTTTTGCAGTGCCTTTCTTATTTTTTTGTCTGCCATGGTCCATATGATTTGTTTTAGGATTACAGTATTTTAAATTGTTAAACTTGTACTCATCTTCAAACATGTCTTTTCACAACAGCAATATGGTAAAACTAGATACAGTTCGTACGGTCCAGATTGGCGCATGCGAGTTTTAAAAAATTCTGCCAAGTCACCAAATCTCTAATTATCATTTCAGTTAATGTTGCAGATTGCGTTGTTCGTTAATCTTCCAATTGGACCTGTCTTATTATTTTTTGCAGACTGCTAGAGCAATTTTATAAAAGTAAGTTAGAACTTTCAATTATGTCAAATAGAATTTCCGATGCTGGAGCAAAGGGAAAGCATATTTCGATGTCATCAAACAAAAAGTAGAAATGCTGAAAAAATGGATAAAGGCTCCTTTGTTTCTCTAACCATTCCGTAATCTGTTTATCAATTTCGCGCTGCTCTGCGCTGGGGGGAGGGGGGGAACGTCGCAGCATGCAATGAACTGGAAGTTGATTTGTCATGTAAAAATGTTTTTATCTATAACAGGTATTTAATTTCGACAAATGAAAATCAAAAAGAATCAAATCACCACTAATTTCGGCTATGCTTGCTTTACGCGTTTTTAAGAAACAAAAAATTTGGGCAATTTTGATAACATCGGCATGCCATCTTATCCTATAATCCGTTCGTTTTTTTTAAGATGGCGAGTTTTAAAAAAATTGCCAAGTCGCCAAATCGATTGTTTTCGTGTGTTTTAGAAAATCGCTAACTCATCATATCGCCGGTTACAAATTTGAATTAATTCTGTAAACATGCAAAAATATCTAAACAGGACTTCAAGAAAAAACAATGAAGAATCACCCACTGCTTGGTGCGTTTTTAAGAATTACACATCCTCGGTATCCATGTACACATCGACCAATTTTTTACTTGAAGAAACATCTTAGAATTTGTCACCCAACTGCAGAGTCGTAGGCGAGAAGTTGAGTATGCAGCTGAAATCATAGAATGAATGTCAGTTTGTGTTTGCTTCACTGTGGTTTCAACAGTTCTTGTGTTAAGTTGGCATTAAGGTAAAAAATTACAAGGAGAAGAAAGGTTCAATGTGAACCTTTGTAGGTATTTATGGGATTTTGTCTTTGTAAGTAAGACAATGATTACCACATCAACAAATACCATTTTAAACTATATAGGAAAGCTCGTTCTAATAATGTATTGAAAAAAAAAGTGGAAAATGAGGGAAATCATTTTAGTAAATTTCAGCACTGTAACGTTGGGGGAGATATAGTAATCCATCATTGGCAGGTCTTGGATAAAGCAACATGCATCGTAATAAGAGATCACATCATCTTTATGACTAAATGTAAGAATCAACCACAGTGCAAAAAAAAAAAAATAATGCCCTATTCTGTTTCGACATTCAGAGTTAAAATATGCATCAGAAGATTGTATAGTTCATTAATGCCATATATTTTGTTAATTTCACAAAACTGGATCAAATTATTTCGTAACAGTAGTATATAAATTTCATAAAGTTGCCAGCTGGAATGTCCTCTGGAGCAGGATTTTTAATTTTCTTTTCTGTTTCAAGGGCAAACTTGCTAGCAAATTCCAATCTGTGTAATTATGTCATATATTAACCCATTAAATGCTGTGGTGCTCATTTGGTTATCATAAACAGTCAAAAGTCTTTAATTTGGACTCTTCGGCGATTTCGGATTATCGTTTTTTTTTTTTTGTATTATAGCTCATCAGTTTAAATCTTTTAAGATGGCATGCAGAAATTATAAAATTAAAAATATGAAATAAAGAGCAATTATGATCTAAAGGGTATCAAAATTTACAAAAAAAATTTAATATTTATTTGTTTACTTTATTAAACTTTTCAACGTGCGCATGTGTAAAGCATACATTACGCTAGTTGAAATTAGAAAATTGCAACCAGAAAACTATTTCATGTGTATTCGTGATATTTATAATGATGAATTTGATTTAAATCATATCAAAGACGAGTACATCGAGATGAAATACTGCATTTAGTGAGGAATTTATAAGCCGAATAAAATAAAAACATCTGCCTGAAGATGAGGATAGTGCTGACAGATCAACTTCCAGTTCATTGTGCGCTGCAACGTACCCCCTCTCCCGCAGAGCAGCGCGAAATTGATAAACAGATTTCGGAATGGTTAGAGAAACAAATCACCTCTCTGTCACTTTCTTCATGCCTTTAAGCATTTTTGCAGCAATTCCACTTTTTGTTTGATGGACATCAAAACATGCTTTCGCTTGTAAATCCTTTGATATCTCCAGAATCGGAAACTCTTTTTGACATAATCGAAAGTTCAAGCTTACTTTTTATAAAATTGCTCTAACAGTCTGCAAAAAATAATAAGCCGGATCCAATTAGAAGAATAAGGAACAACGCGATCTGCAACATTAACTGAAATAGATAATTTTAGCTTAGCTTATACCGTCCATTTATACATTAAACGCATATGCGCATGCGTTTAAGCATGTGCAGAAAGTTTGTAGCTTTGAGGTCCGGATTATAGATCATTCCGGATTAAAGACTTTTGACTGTACTTTAAGCCACCTAGTAACACCATCTAGCTATCTCGGAGGGGAAAAGAAGGCAACATTCAACTCATCCACTGAATGTCATTTGTAGAAAACCTAAAGTGATCACTACCTATACGCTCTTATGCTGAGCTCATGTTCATTTTCACATTCCACTCTCCTCTTATCACAAAAGCGAAACATGTGTTTTGAAAACGGATTAGACGTAGTGGATTGAGGCTAATTTTGGTCATTGTGATTTTACTATATTATTGGTGAGTGTTGATTAAAGCGGTTATTACTTCTAGCAACAGTCCCTGCTAGACGGGACTTTCCTGAGAAACAAGATTTTGGTAGCACTGGTTTAAATGGGAGGATTCTTAGAAAAAAAAGAATCCCACCTAGCTACAGAAACAATGTAGCGGCTATGTGATATTTCTTCAAACCTCGCCAAAAATGTCTCAGCTGAAACTCTGTCCCGGGTAGAAATGAACCAATCAGATGAAAGTTCTGCTTCTGAAGGATCACGTGGTCCCAATCTGAGCGATAATCGATTATTGTTTGGCGTTGTCTTTGTAGTAAGTGAAAATGGTAACCTAGCTACATGGGTTTCCTGGAAATGTGCGGGTTTCTGAGAATTGCCCCTTTCGTCATCCAGTTCGGCATAGCCGAAAGATAATGTAATTTTAAAAATTAGATAATGCTTTTTTTTTTTTTTTTTTTGGTCAGTGTAATTTGTATAGATGATGGACACAAATTCATAAAGCCGCATTTGGAGATTACAGTTGATACTGAGTAGAATTTCAACAAGCATTTTATGATTGCATTGTACAAAAAAGGCTTGAGAAAAGCTTTGAAAGAATTTAAAGATAATATGGGATTCCCAGAACCTCTGTAATTCTGCCTTTGAAGATGATGGCAATGATTTTATAAACGTGGAGCTTCCTCCACAGCAGGTTGATGGAGTTTTCTGATGATGGACTAGAGGCAGAATGAGGCATCTCTAGGAGTGACAAGTGCTTAGCAACGAATCATTACGGGTATTTCAATAGAGATTAAAAATTGTCTTCAGTTAGTCATTTATCTTCAGTAACATACGAGAGGATGCTGAACAGGCACTGGAAGCTGTAGACACACTAATGTTTGTGAAAAATGCAACACCATGGGAGGAATTGTCAGAAATTAATGAAATTTATTCCACATATTACCGATAGTGATACAAATAAACGATCACATTTACAAAGCCAAAAAAAAACGAAAATTGGAAAATCAGTACTTTGGGTTTCTGTCATGCTGAGCGAGAGCTTGTACACATCGTGGCATTGAATCGTATAGGTTCTGAATGTAATCCTGGGGAATGGCTTTGACTTGATGTGGAAGTTCAGTTTTCAGTGTGTGCCCCACTAGCTGTACGTATGAGTCGCTGACCAATGAAATCCTACGCATGCTTACTGAGCAACTTATCTGGGGAAGAAGCAGAACCTGTTGTACCCTAAAGAAGGCTTGTGCATGGGCATTTTTTTCCCCTAAAATATAGTGCCTGGAATGCGTCGAATAATGCATACTCTGTCATCATTATACTACAGATTGTAGCGAGATTTGTCTGAGAAAACAACTTGTTGCCACAGAGCACGCCACACACTGCGTTGCTGTGCTCACTGAAGTCGGAGGCATCTGTTACTCAGCGACAGGGCAATCCTGTGTAGAGGAACCCTTGCATGCAGTTCATGTTGCAGCAGACAGCGACGAACACTTGTAACCGTGCTCCAATATTGTACTAACATATGAGAGGATGCTCTACAATCCATCACAGCCATGCAGATGAGGTGTTTGTCGTCCTGTGCTGTTGTGTGCCCCATTGCCAGGATTTCACCTTGTTTGGTTTTCGCTGTCCATTTCTTCCAAACATGCATCACTGTTGTGGCATTGTGCTGCGTGCGGGCTGTGATTGTTTGATATGAAAGTCCACCTCTTGCATACAGACGATGTGGCCTCGTTAAAACTTGTTGGTATGGCATCCTCCGCTGTTGACGAGGCATACTGAGCACAAATTAAATGTTCACTGCAGACGGAGGATGTTAAACAGATTTCAGCACAACTTTACAGTCCTTTACAACTGCCAGTTCTCATTTCATGCATGCATAATCCCTTTGTAATTCTAATCATTTGTATGTCTTAACTCACTTTACATTTCATGTAAGTTTGGTTCAAAGTGCATAATTCCTTCATGGTTGTGATTTTCACAAAACATTAGTGTATATTAGGTAGTCCTAACTAAAAAAGCATCTTGAAATAAAAGTATGCAGTTGTCCAGATCAAATGTTTATTTTACAGAAAAATATAAACAGCTTATGCATACATGCATTGTTTTTATAGGATTCTGATCATACCTGAATAATAATTTTTCACTAAGTTGTATTTTACAATAATTCTTTCAAATAAGTAACAGTTACTTATCCATTATTTAATTAAAAGAATTTTGTATATATTTTTGTTCTTATCAACTAATGAAAGGGATGTATATGTATTAATTTTATAAAATTCATGTGAATGTATGCAAATAAATTGTTTATAAATGTCACATAAGTTTATACCTCCTTAAACCATTTTCATGTGAAACAGAAGCCTTATTCATAACAATATAATCAAACATACCAAGGTATAATTTTATTAAGACCCTGAGTTACATCAGTATGAACTTATGATGGAACTATTGGAACAATACTCATCATGAGTTGAGGATTACTTATAATTTGTCAGTAGGCATGTATGAAAATGGGTTTTGTAATTAATATTGAATGTATAACTTTTTCTTTTCATATAAATACAGAAGGATTTCATGTCTGCAGATAATGTATTACAAGAGGCTGTTGTGTGCCAGTGGACAAGCTGGTGAGAAGCTGAACACTAATAGCTTGAATCCTGGTGAATGGACTGCCTGCATAAGCGTCGTCATGATTTTTCCACGTGATGAATGCAAGCCAGTTTGCCTTAAAGCATCCCTTCTTGGAAAATATCTTCTAGTGTTTCATCACAAAATCAGTCAAAAACTGTTTCTCATGATTTGAAAAATACGTATAAAGGAAGTCAAATTTAATTGATAAATTGTGCATGCTGAGATTGTATACTATATCATATACATTTTTTAATATATTTTCTGTATCTCTAATGTTGAGAATTTTGATGTTTTAATTTAACCCTGAATAAAATGTTAAGTACTATAAGCAAAGTAAGCAGTATTGTATTTGATGTCAGAACAATATTTTTTTATTTTTTTATTTTATACTTGTATATTTTTGCTTATGATTGGAATTTTAGTACAAATTATTTTGGCATGATGTGGCCTGTTCTCATTTAAAATGCATTTTGTATTTTTTTTTCTTCTGTTATTTGCATTATAATAGTTTGGCCATAACAACTATGGATGCCAAATCAACATGTATGGGAATAACTGTATTAAATTTTGAGAAAACCTTTAGGTGTCATTTATTATAAAGGTTGAGATGATTGTTTTTATAAATTCATTCATTCTTATCTATTTAAGAATTATCATTTAACATAAAAATATGAAAAAGAATAATATATTATAATACTAAATAAAATATACTTTTATATATATATATATATATCCAAGCTCACTATATGCGCACTCAAAGAGATACATTTCTTTTTTGTGATGTATGTGATGATAATTTACTGTTAAGTATCTTAAGTTGTTCATAAATAGTGCTCATTTTTCATAATGCACCAAACAAACCTCACATAATTAATTTAATAAAATATTATTGCAGAGACATATTTTTGAAATTGACATTAGTCCTCTATCCATCCGTCCCATAGGGATAACTATGGGGCAGATTCCTACTGTCATCTACAATATGCCCAAGCCCTTCGCCAATGACAGTTGCTTCTCAATACCCGTATTTTACAATTAAATTCATGAATCTGATCTGGCTGAGTTTCATATCAGGGGAATTAAAAAAGCAAAATAAATTCATTACCTAAAACCATTTTTCTCCAACTAACTGGATGATTATGTGATTGGTGTGCATGGATGGTAATGTGAAAGGATGTGATTAGATGGTAATGTGATTAGATGGTATAGATGTGATTAGATGGTAAAGATGGTAATGTGCATGGATGGTAATGTGAAAGGATGTGATTCATAACAGTTTTTAATAATGAAAAGCTCTTGTTCTTTTTTCTTTAAATTCTTGTGTTTTTTTTTTTTTTTTTTTTCAATGCACACTTTTTAAAAGCAAGCCGGATGATCACTACAAGTTTCTTGACATATTTAAAAGTAAAATATTGCATCTACATTCATTTTGAATAAATTGTTATTACTATAGTCTGCAATCATGGAGTTCATTTTAAGATTATTTGTCCTTTTTTTGTTTGTGGAATAGGAGGTTGTATTTTTTACAGATTTTCTGTTTATTTAGCCAGTTTTCTATATAATGCCTAACATAAAATATAACTTATATTAGCCATTATATAGAAATTTATGTGCCTTGTTTTAAAAATTATGTGTAGCTTAATTTAAGTTTGTCTCATGTCAGATGAACAATGCTGCTAATCTGGTTGAGAAGTTAAGAAAGTCTGACCATTCCAAGAAAAATCTTTTAGAACAGCTCACTGATTAAAACACATACATATACACACTAATTAACTGTGCTCATCAAAAGTGCTGTATTATTTAATGCTGTTTCTGATGAGCAAAATTCAAAGCATTATTTCTCTTGTTTGTCATTATTTCTGCGTATGAAGTTTGTAGCAAAAGGGAATAATTATTTTTTTACTTTCATTCACTGATATCACTGTATTTTATATGTCTGATAATGATCTGCTACATAAGTAATATCTATATGCAAACATAAACCAAAATCTTGCTTTAGAAGAATCCCACCGATTTCGGTTCTTCAATAGATAAGACCACAGAATACTGTGATACAATTTAGGTTTGAATTCTATCAAATGGGTTAGCTACATCTCTGTTTTTACAGTTTTCCCTATGTTTAATACGAATACAAGTCAGTTTCATTCAAAAAGTGCTCAAAGAAGGGCATCTCTTCTTTTAAGCAGATAGCCCTCAGGACCTTTGCCATAAAAATTCAACAGCTGAGCATGTACTAAATGATAACAAATGTCCATTTTATAACTTTCAAATGAAGTGGTGGATTTAAATTTCACATCTGGTGCTATAGCAATATATGTGACTTGGGTAAACAGCCAGTTGATATGGTCTAAGGAACAGGGTTTTTAATTTTATTTTCTTTTCGTATAGCAAACTAGCTTGCCTATGCATATATGCAAGTCTAATTTATTTTTTACAAAAGATTCATATTAAAATACATACACATATGACAAAGAAATGTATGCACATAAACTATAACTAATAATCAATTGAGCAATATGTGAACATAGATGCTAATGGTTCAAGTGTCGTGTAGCAGGGTATGACTGCAAACCCTATAGTGGTGCTGCAAACAAAAATTTAGTGTCTGATTCAAAAGCAGGCATAAAAACTAGTATACAGTTTGTCCCATATGACACAAAACAAAAACTATGTAATCAGAAAAGATATCACGTAGACATTGATTTACACAACTCATAAGCTTCGGTAAATGCCTAATCCACCATTCGCCTGAAAACTGTAGAATGGTCAGCACACTTCTGCTTGGGAAACAGCTCCAGAAAGACGTCTCTAAAAATTGTAGAATTGTGAGCTAGTCATATATGGATTCTATGGTAGACCTAATCCACACTACAGTAGAACATGAGCCTCTGAAACATTACCATCGAAATTGCAATTCCAGGGTCACTATGTACGTTAACCTCGACATTAAAGCACTGGTAGCTCCATTTGCAATTGTGCTAGTGTAAATGAGTGAACACCATAAAATGGCAATGAATGAACAGTGTTAGGTTTATTTAGGAGAAAAAAAAAAAAAAAAAAAACATGAAATATTAGAAATGACCTCTCAGAAATCTGGCCTTCAAGATTGCCGTACAGAAAAGCTTCCAATTACATCATGAAGGCATGCGGTGAGAAAAAAGAAAATTCCTTACATTCTTCCCCATTTAAAAGGCAGTTGGGGAGGTGGTAACCTAATCGCCACCTGCTGGTGGTGAAGAATTATCGTTCTACCACATTTTAGTTTGGGAACCACTTGGTTAGTTGGTTGAGCTTTAGGTATTTATTTGAAATAGAAAATATCAGCGAATGACCGCCCCAGGATTTGCATTCTGGACTTCCCATTGCCAGCCGAACGTGCTTCTAATTAGAACACGAAGCCAAGCGGTAAGGAAAGAGAAAATTAGTTACTTAGTATCTTATTTTATTTTGGCTGCACACAGTTCCTATATGTAGCTAAGCGAATTCCCGGTCAGTAGCATAAATCCCAACCTTCCTAGTGGACAGCGTGCTTCCGCTCCTGTAAAATATTGCGATTTAAGAAGTCATCCACGAATAGCTGAATCAGTTCTACAATTATATAAATAATAAAAATTAAGAAATGAAATGGAGAAATTAATGTAACGTTAGTACAAACAAGAAGATGCAACAAAAAGATCAATTAGGAGATCACTTAGGGTCCGGTATTGTACAGCATGTACATATACGTAGCATGACATCTATGGGGTGTAGGAGAGGATATAAAGCATGATAATGGTGTATGCTCAAAACATGAACGGAAGCTACTGCACGGTACATTCGGTTTTAACAACATCGATTTGTAATCTCAGCGTGACAGTTCTATAGACAATATCTGGACGACTTTGTCTGGAAGTTTGAAAGAAGGCCAAAGTGCGACTGCACACATCATGTCAGCAGTTTGGATTACATTTTGAACAAAAGGAGCAGCTATCTAAAGGTTTAGTAATGCTCATTGCCAAATTAGACTTTTATATGCCCGTAGCACTTGAAAGATTTTGGTGCCTCCACATACCTGGCATAGTATAACGCCTCTTTCTCATCATTCCCTCTTTCTCGGCCTTGGATTAGCTGCACTATGTATTCCCTTCTAAAACCTGCAGTGAGAATTTTATTTTTGTTGTGCCTTTGCACTCTTTCTTTGAATCTTTAAGCACATTTTTGTAACGCAGCCTTTACCTGATGCCCTAAGCACGTGCTTACTTTCCTTAATTGGTAATCCAACCCTGGTAGTGGTTTTCCACAAAAAACCACGGCAGGATATGAAGAAGTGATATCTTCTCTTACAGATGATGAGTTGGGTTCAGTTTATTTAGTTATGGCAAAGCATTCGAGGGCTACCTGTCTAAGGGAAGAGATGCCTTCGTGAAAGACTTTCTATGGGAAAATTGGACTGTATATAGGTTACACATATGGAAACCATGAAAACGCTTAGTTAGCAGCCAATCTGCTCGCCGGGATTCGAACCCCGGCCCGAGTTTATCGGCTTTACCGCTCGGCCACTGGAGAGCCGTCTTTAGATGATGCGGATGATCTATGCTAATGACTCCCCATCATCTTGGTGGTGGTGACAGTGGGTGACAATCCTAAGATGCATGCAATCTATTACTGGACATCCAATATGTCTAAAGACTTGGCTATAGTTTTTCAGCGCCTAAAGACAACTGCAGATTTCGTACATCTGCAGTTCTGTTTTCTAAGTATGGAAACTGTTTCATTCTAAAACGTCGTCAGTTTGGCATTTCCGTGACACTACGCCCAGAACCAGTTGTCCACCCTCTCCCGTCTCTAGCTATAACACTGATATCACTACGAAACAATCTGATGGTGTTTTGATCGCTTTGCGGACTTTCATGCCTTCTCGTCGGAGGCAGTGTCTTCTGTAGTGTTGCAAACAAAAGATCTGAGTAGCTCCAGTGGAGTGGCGAGCATAACTGGCGCCCGGGGCAAAATACCTTTTTGGCGTCCCCCTTCCCGAAAAAAATACATGGTGATATGATGAAAATCTTGTTTGGAGACCATTTGGCGCCCCTCTGCGACCGGCGGCATCATACACCCCCTTTACGCCACTGAGTAGCTCAGCAATGGAGTTGAGCTTTAAGGATAGCAGCAGTCGCTGGCAAGACTAAACAGGGAAAGGGGGGTGTCATCCAGTTTTCTAGGACAATAGAGCAGCCGCTGCAATATTATATGAGGGGTTATCATCCAGGTTCAAGAATAAGATAACAGCTTTAATCTTCCGATATTTAGATTATCTAGCCATTCTGGAAGTCTAAATATCTAGATAAAGCAGAGATTACGCAATCGTCCGAGATCATCGAAAGGAAACAGTTTGCAAGTGCTCAAATTTTCGTTTGTGGAAGTGAAATGCTTGGTCGCTATATGAAGCTCCATACATCTGAAGAAGATTAATTCACTACTGACTGCAGTTGTGCTAATGTTCTTCTCCTCACGTGCATCTTTTCCAAGATTCTTCGCGAACAATAGTGCTACACTTCATGGTATACCAACTGTCGCTAGCTTGTTAAGGAGTGAAGATATAGCACCTGTCTTAGCGTAGGCATTCTGAAGGCTGTCGTATGCTCCAACTTAATATATGGTGTATGGTATGAGAACTTTTGACAGCCCGCGCTAGTGCCTTTCAATGCTTTCATAGCTGTAATCAGCCCTGCAAGAAGAACTGAACATAATTTCTCAGAAATTCGTGGACGATCTCGTACAGAGCATGAATATACAGTAGAGAGACTGCATCACAATTAAGTAGGATTATATCCCTAGTGATAATTGCGTTTGTGTTACCCTTATCATATGGGCATTCACCTTCTGATTTGAGCAGAATACAGATGTACTTCGAATCTGGTTTTGTATCCTTTTGCATTCCTTTCTTAGTCAGTGTTGTCACATTTCTCACTGTCTAATACGTTGACGATGTTTATACTATGCTTTGCACCATTCTAATTACTGCTTGCACATGAGACATAACATGCGAAAATCTATCTGTCTCAACCAATATACACCAATACCTGACAAAGAATCCAAGTACGATATTTCAGT